CCTGCTTCTTTAAGGGTTCAGCATATACTGCAGCAAACTGAGACATATGGTCGGGTGGATGGAGGAACTACTGGATTCTTAAAACTCTCAATTCATAGCCAGCCATTGGTTGATTTGCTAGAGTACATACTGTAAGCCATTCTTACAAATACCATTTCCATAGAGAGATTCATTTATGACTGCTATTACTCTAGACATCCTTGATTAATATAACAGTTTTGGGTATGAACATTAAGGATGTGAACAATGATTCTTACTCAGTGCTTAAAAAGTGAGATTCAACTCTCCATGGCTGACAGTAGCAATTACCTCCGGGCTTCTTAAAGCACATGGCTGAATGCACTGAAGCCAAGGTACATCCTCTGCAGCTGTGAATAAGCCATAGGAGTCTGTCACCTGGGTCACTTGATGCATAGATTTATAAGGAACCAGGTACCTTCTGAGATACCTACCTGACTATATAAATAATTGACCCCCACAGTGGGGAAGACTCATATCTGGACTTTCAGGACCTGCTAGGGCAGAGTCTCAACTGTCTGTTACTTCCTGTTTGACTGAGATGAGGTAGTGTTTGGGACAGGTGCTGTCCTTTGATTTCTAGAATTTGGTATTGCTAACATGGTTGTCAGTGTGACACAGCATCAGAATGGATATAGATTAACCCACATAACTCATTTGTTCTGGAGTTCACCAAGAACACTTTTGAAGCCACACCAGACTCCAACAAATTTTGTTATCTAGAGTGAGCATGATGCTAAATTTTCATTTCAGGATTTCTAGGAAATTCAAAAGTGTGAAGTGGAGCTCTGGGACATATCTAGGGCAAAAGATGCTCCTTTGCTTGAACTGTTCATGCTCCAATGAATATTGTAATTTAAGCTGGCTCTGTCCCTTTTCCTAAGTACATGTACATTGCAAAAGGTGACTCGTTATGAAGGAATTTGTCTGTTGTGTAGGTATAGGTAAAGCACCATGGCAATGCCATACTGCATATTCTCCACATGAGTATGACAAATTTGATATTCTGAAAATGCCTTTGCATATCTCTGTGTGACCTTTCAATAGCCAATCATTTTCCCTCATACTTGAATGCAGGAATGGACCACCACTCTTCATGGGAGTGTTAGCTCTATGTTGAAGGCACACACGAGGAGCCTGCATCATTAGTGTCTCTAACATGACCTGTCACAGGTTGATCACACATTTGATAACTTATGATGACTGGAATTCTGTCCTATTGAAGTTTTGGGACACTTTTCATCCATCATGGGACTTACCTTGTTCTCACAGGACAACTAATATTCCTACCACATCAATATATTGTACCAGCCATGTGGATCATAGGCAAAGTGCTTGTTGTCTTCAGGGGAGTGAACTTTCCTCCCCACCATCCTGAATTATTTACCTGGTATCCTTTATTTCTCCTGTATGGTGCTCTTGAAAGGCATGAGCCCTTTCCTGGGATCTTTTAAAAGTGAGTTTTCAACATCCATACATAAAGCATTGAATATATTTTAATAAAACAGACAGAGATCACTGGCTTTGTAATGAAGAGGTGAAGGTCTTTCCTTATGTATCTGGGGAAATTCCCAGGAAGGGCATTATGGTTTCCAGTGAATTGCAGAAGATCTAGTTAGTAGGTAGGTGAGGGCTGCTGCTGACCCTAATAGTCCCATCTCTACAATTCTATTTTGTTGTGGAGAGGCTTTGGTGGTTCCTGTGATTTCACCGGTGCTCTGGGAACAACAAGTGACTGTGGGGTATACTGTCAGTGTCCATAGACAAGAGAGAGGTAGAAGGAAGCTGACCTTAGGTCTCAGGGTAAAACACAGAGAAATAAATGGTTCTGGGGAAGGCACATGAATCCTGGTAAGGGAGCTTCCTGGAGGAGCTGGACTTGAGCTAGACCTTCCATTTGTGGGGATCAACATCTGGGAGGCAATGGGCTTATCCTGCTTCCCTGGGTTACCCCAGAGCAGATCAAGAATAAATGATGGCTAGTGTAATAGAGAAATGAACTGTCAACCCTGCACCTGCTTTTCTGGGAGATTTTTAACCTCATTCTGACTGGAAAGGTAGACCAGCAGGAGCAATGTTGTGACTAATATGGAATCCCTTTCAGGGTGGGGTGTTGCTGCAGCTCATCTGAGTGGGTTCCTTCAGTTTTCCCTGTGAATCTGATGCTAATTAGAAGGGATGGAAACTCCCCTGGTCAAGCACCAACACCCAGACATTCAGATGGTTTTGTTCTGGACAAATGTGATCAGAACATGGTACTGCTAACCTCTAGGAACAACAAAACTGTCCTGTACAACCTGAGATATGAGGTGACACTGTCCATCTAATCTACATGGCTTGGGTAGCTTATGTCTTTGCAGACACAGGGGACTAAACCAGCATGTGATGCACAAAGTCTATACAAGCTTTCTGCAGTCCGAGACATAGCTCATGGACACCAGCAAGAGCTTAGCTGCCATGTTGTCTGGGGCATTTACTGGGTCATTAACACTTCCTTTTCTTATGGCTTCTCCTGGTTCTCAGGACAGTCTCCTGCCCTGTGACAATCAAATATTCCACTTCACTTGTCTTTATCTACCTGCAGGGACTACTGCGGAGGCACCATCTCAATCTCCTCCTTCACTAAGCAAGACCAGCAGGTGGACAAGTTGGAGGAACCAACAATTAAGCAACAGAGTATAAAATATGAGCAAATTGAGTTGAGTGAAATCCTGGACTGTTATACAAAAATGAATTTGAACAATAGGTAGGCATTATCCCAGTTCTCTGCTGACCCTTTTGATCTCATAGTGTCAAGAAAGCTCTTGTGGATTCAGGAGGCTAAAATTTCAGGGTGTCATGGTGTCTAAACCAATTTCCCTGAGAGCATCAGGAGGCAGAACTTGGACCCTGGGTAGGTATGGGATATGGACATAGGCTTTTCTGCTTCCTCCAAACGAAAAGCAGAGCCTCTGTCCTGAATCAGTCTGGTGAAAGGGACAGTAGTGTGTGAGCTCTCACCATGCTTTAAAAGAGGCCTTGACAGGTGCTTGCTTGAGGACCACACTGGGTCCTGTGTGTTTATGTCTAGTGTTTGTCCCTGATGAGCACTTGACTGTGTGATGAACGCTTCTGGCAGCAACTGGAGGGACCTGGTCATATTCAACAATCTCAGTTTGTGGCTGCAAGGCATTTGCTCATCTCTGCTACTCTATGGTTTCTTCCTTAGATTCTGAGACACTGAACCTGCCTGCACTGCCTGAACACCTTGATTGTATGTGGTAGAAGGACTCTGTGTGTCTGTGTGTGTGTGTGTGTGTGTGTGTGTGTGTGTGTATGAGTGTGGGTTTCCTTCTATCTGTTTGAATCTGTGTTTCTTTGGTCATGTAATAATGACAGATAAAAAGACTATGATTTTAAGGAAGCAAAGGGACATCCATGGCAAGTGAGGAAGAAAAAGAAAGAGGGAAATGATGTAAATATATTTAATGTTAGAAAGAAAATAAATAAAATATAAAAAATAGAATCTTCTAATAAACTGTCTCTCAAAACCATTACTTTAATTACCTAGGACCTTTCTAGCGTACTTTGGTTTGAAGTAAAATTTAAAAGGTACTCACCATTTCCAAATTTAGATTTATTTTAGATTTTCTCACCACTTTTAATTATAACTTCTTTTACTTTTTCAGGTTTCTCCATTGGGTTACTTGCATTAGGGTTTGATTCAGCCCTTCTGGCTACAGCTGCTAAGGAGAGTTGAGTTATGTGAAGGAAGGCTGGGATTCTGAGTAGATGCAATTATTAGACAGATGTCCCTGAGCATAGGAAGGCTAGATCTAAATGTGCATGGAAATTCCTAGAACATGATAGTGTAACATGCAACCAAGAAGAGATCACACAGTAAGTCAAAGTTGTTCAGGTAGGATTAAAGAGAAGAGAAAAAGGACAGAACAGTCAAGTGACATTTGCTTGTTTGCCTCCTAACTCAGGCATCCAGTGGATATTTCTGAACTGATTATAGTGGACCATTCACAAGTCTGTGTGCTAAGAATAAAGTTGCTATGAATTGAATCAACACCTTGACATCATAGAATTTTTATTCTAGTTGGTGCCACTGACATGAAAAACAATGTCACAAATAACAAACTGCATAGTTGAGTTGTATTAGTCTCAACATTAGCGAGATGACCATAGTGCTGTAATGGAATAAGTAGAATAAGGGAGAAAGATGATAGAGCAAGGCGGTGTGGCAGGGTAATTGGGAGCTGTGGCAGTTTAAGGGAAGGACTGTGGTAGAGGTGGGGGAAGAATATTAATGGAACAAAGGAGTTAGGATATTTCCAAGTGAGGGTAACAATGCAGATAGAGATGGGGTATGATGAATAGGTGGTACGCTATGTTAGAATTTAAGGGGTCTATGATAGTGTAGCAAGGACTATGAGACAGTAACAGGAGGACTATGATGGAGTAACAGGTCTAGGACAGAGTAAGGATCATACATCTTTACATAGGAAGACCAGAATAATCTGTGGTTTCCTCACAGAAGTGACACCTGAGCTGAGACTTGAAGTTGGTAGAGTTGGTTTATGAAGTTTTCTATGGAGTGTGTTTCCTGTTGAGAAAGACTTGGACCCCATCTGAGAAGTTCAGAATGCTGAACAGAAACCAGCATTGCTAGTACGGAGAGCTGGGACCTAGCCCCACAAAAAGCTCATGTTGACAGTTCAGGCATGCACATATCCTGTGCAACATTGGGTATCACAGCCTGAACGTTAGTCTCCGTCAAGCATTGAGGAAGGAAGATTCTACTTCTTGTTCTTCCTTTGGGCCTATAAGAATGATTTTTTGAGCCACCCAGACAAACAGAGAGACACACAACACTGAGAAACCAAAAGTGATTCCAGAGGCAGAAGCTCAGCAGCCAGGCCCCTGGTGCTGAGTTTGTGTTCGGCTCCCCCTGTGGTTTCTGCCACTGTGTCACTCAGAGCACAGTAGTACACAGCCTAGTCTGACTCCTGGACTGATTCTTTCTTCAAGTGGAAGGAAGTGGATCCTCTATCATATGTAGCTTCAAAACCTCTGCTGCTTCCCGTCTCATCGGCCTTTGAGACTCTGAAGAGGAGCTGTGGACCTTCTCCAGGATACTGCACGTACCAGAGTAGGGCTGGGTACTGTTTGGTTTCATAGGAGCAGTTCACAGTCAGAGACGACCCTTCAGAGAGTGTCACTTGGCCTTCTGTTTGTGTCACCGAGTCTCCATTGGTCCTTGCTGGAGGAAAAACAAAACAGATATGTATGTCACCTTAAAGACAAAGCTCTTGGATGAATTTAGGGCTCAGAATGTTTTTGATATAAAAAAAAAAGTGAAGAATTTAAATCACTATTACTTACCAAGTATGAAGAATATCACTGTTACGAAGCCTGGAGAAGAGTCCATCTTTAGTGGCATCTAGACAATGTTCTAGATGCTTAGCATGTTGAAAACAAAGAATCAAAGAGTCTTAAATTCACACAGGAAATACCATGATGTTAGGGCCTGTCGCCACCTGGTGGCCAGAGAGTGAATAGTTATATGTGGCAATATTTGCTAAAAGACAAGGAAATAATGAAGATCATTGATTTTTCAAAGTTAGAACTTCCTCTGTTTTAAGTGAATGCCATTTTTTTTGTTTTGGCTTTTTGAGACAGGATATCTTTGTATTGATTTGGAACCTGTCCTGGAACTTGCTCTGTAGAACAGGCTGCCATTTAACTCACAGAGATCTGCCAGTCGAGTGCTGGGATTAAAGGCATGTACCACCAAGTAAGGTCAGTAAATGCCTATTTTAAGGCATTTTTAAATGATTTTTTTCCGGGGGAGAAGTCACACTGTATAAAAAATACTCATAAGTTTCAGAATTCCAGTACAAGTGAAGAAACATATAACTTTTTGAACTCTATAGAGTGAGCTAAACTTTTGAAAAAGGTTCACTTTTGCCTTTAAAACATTTCCTCCTAACACAAACTGACTTGCTCTCCTAGCTACGTCTAAATAATGAACTTCACTTTCTGCCTTTGCTACACTAAGCATTTAGGTTAAACTCTACCTGCTTAAAATATGAATTTCCTTCCTCGAGCCTACTAGAAAATCCCGGTTTTAAATGTAACGGAGATACAAGCCCTTCCACTTTCTTGTTATCATGTTCATGGCTGTCTTCATGTAATTGTTCAGATGTTGTTCCTGTTAATTGTTTTATTGACTTTATGGGTGGTTTTATGCCCAAAGCCATTAAATAACTAAATCTGTGGCCACTATGTTTATGTAATTCTATAATTTTTTCTGCATAGGAAAAACCAGCACCATTGCATATACTTGTGGCCCATGATAATTAAAACCTCAGTTTTAGCAGAGAAATACATTTAAGAAGTGTGCCATGTTTTTCCTTCCTGGTTATCAGATGTGGGGAAAATGGACTTGTCTCTCTACAACACCAGCACACAGCTCCCTGGGAATAATAGCTAACAAATGTTGCAGTTATCGTCCTGATCTTTCTAGTTCTGATATTACTGCATTTTTAATTACTATTTTTGTGCTTATTATTTAACCACAATAATTCTTCATTCCCTTTCCTCCCTCAAAACTCTCCCGTGTACCCCTTTCCAACTTCCTTCAATCCATGACTGATTTTTTATAAAAAGATTAATTGTTATTGCATGGGTACAAGTATATGTGAATACATATATATTCCTAAATACAGCCTATGCAGTCCATGTAACTGTATGGGTATAATGTTTTCAAGGGTGACCATTTGGTGCTGGACTGCCAATTGGTGTGTTCTTCCCTGGGTAAGCCCACCCCCTCTCATTCCCAGCTTTCCTCAGTTGTCTGCACTTCTCTGTTCAGGGTTCAGGTCTCATGGGATGCTCCGGTCCATTCTGGCATGTTCAATTGTACCATCCTTGTTCAGCTCACAATTCGATGGTCATGTACACTAGAGTTTATTTATTTGTTTTGCTATATATAAACTTTTTTCTTATTTTACATATAAATACAAGTTCCCTCTCCCTTCCTGCCTCCCTGCCTCTCATCCCCCCCCACTACCTTTCCATCCCATTCCCACCCACCCCTGTATTTCACAGGGAGGGTGATGCCTTCCAGGAGGGGTCAACAAAATCTGTCAAGACATTTGGAGTAGGAACTAGGCCGTCCCTCATGCCTCTAGGATAAGGGAGTATCCCTCCATGGGGAATGTGCTCCAAAAGTCCTTTTGTGCACCTTGAGTACATCCTGGTTCCTCTGCCCGGGCCTTCTGAGACCCATGTTCAGGGTTATTCCAATGCTGGTTTCCCAACTATCAGCCTGGGGGCCCAGTAGCTCCTCCTTGTTCAGGTTGATGAGAGTTTATGTGTATAACTTCTGATATCAGCAAGAGACACAATCTTCCAGAAGATTCCTCAATCCTTGGCTTTTACAGTCATTCTGCCTTCTCTTCTGCAGTGTTCCCAGAGGCTAAGGTGCATGAGTGTTTTGTAGATGTATTCCTTGAGACTGGGATCCCTAACTGCAGTTTGGTTGGTGGTACTATAATTTAGTGTTCTCTATGTGTTGAAAGAGAAGTTTTCTTGATGAAGGGTGAAGACTACAGTTATCTGTGGGTATAAGTACAATTATTTATAGCTTATTGTTAGGGATTATGCTGTTTTCATAAAATAGAGGTTGAAGACTGCCAGTTAATAACCATGACTTCATTCACACTTTATAAATTAGCTAGGTTTCCAACACCAGACATGGGATCATTATTGTGGGGGTGTATCTTCAGTCCAATGAGACAGCTGTTGGGTACCATTAAGATATGTGTGTGTGTGTGTGACATTACTGCACCTATGGATTACTGTGCCATGATGATTATTTATATGAGGACATGCTGGATTTTGTCAAAGACCTTATCTGTATCTATGAGATGATCATGTGAGTTTGTCTTTAAGTCCATTTGTGTATTTTATTACATTGACTAATTTGTGTGTTTTGAACCATTACAGCTTTTCAGAGATAATGTCAATATAGAGGTGGTATATACTCCATTCTTTTTTGAATGTATGCCTGTATTCTGTTGTCAAGTAGTATTTCATTGAATATCTTGAGTCTCTGTTCATCAGTGATATTGTCTTGTACTTTGATATTTTTGTTGTATCTTTGCTTGGCTTGGGTATTAGTACAATAGTGGTTTCCAAGAAAGAGTTTTGGGTGCTCCTCATTCTCTTCACTTTCTTCAATTGATTAAGAAAGACTAGCTGTAGATCTTCTTAAATGTCTGGTAGAATTCTGCTTTCAATACATCTGGTTCTGGATTTAATTTTTAATCTTAGAGGTATTTCATTAATATTTCAAATTCCTTGTTTTTCGTGCTTGCTTAGATTGTTGACTTCTTGGTTATTTTTTACAGTTTGGCTTAATCTAGAAATTTATGTCTTTTTTCTATGTTTTTCAACTTAATAGAGTACAAATTTTAAAAATAATGCATTATAATAGTTTGATGTCTGTTGTAATGTATTCCTGTTCACTTTTGATGCTAATCTCTTATCTTGATGCTTATCTCTTTCTATCTGTGGTTGACTTGTTCTAAAGATCTGTCAATATGTTAATCTTCAGAAAAAAACAGCTTTTAGATTCACTAACTATTTGATTGTTTGCTTTGTTTCTGTTTCACTGATTTCTGCTCTGGATTTTATTATTTTTTGTCATCAACTGCTTGTGGACTTTGCTTGTTCTTCACAAAGTTTTGAGTTGCATCAGTAAGCCATTTATATGGGTTTTTTTTCTTTAATGAAGGTATGTAGAGGTGTAAATTTCTCTTTTCTCTGCTTGCTAGTGTGTCACAAAACACTTTGTTATATTTTTTTTTCATTTAGTTCAGGGATTTTTTTTTCATTTGTTTCTTAATTTCTTTTTTGATGCCTTCATCATTTAGTAATGAATTGTTTAATACCCATGAGTTTGTATGTTTACTGGAAGGTTTAATTGGGGGGGTATTGGATTGAAACTGAACAGTATTTTACTTATTTACTTTTTTAATTATATGTTTTTACTCACATATAGAAACAAATGTTATAGGATACATGTATATATTGTGTCATTCACATTAAATATAAATGTATCTCTTCAAACATTTGTCATCTCTTTATGGAAAAAACATTTAAAATCCTTTCTTCTGTACTTTTGAAATATATAGCACATGCTTGACATCTTTAGTCATCTTACAGTCTTAGTCCCCACACCCATTCATCTGTCTTCCTCATCATCTCTTTCTCCTTCTGCTCTCCCAGGACTCTGGTAACTACTATGCTATTTTCAGTTTCAGTGAGATCAACTTTCTATTCTACATATAAAAGAAATCATTCAGTATTGACTTTCTGTGATGGCCTATTTCATTTAACATAATATCTGTGGTCTGTGCTGCTGCCGAAAACCATGTAGAAGTCTGTGATCTGTGCTGCCACTGGTTGTTATGGGCAAGGAAGCTTCTTTTGCAGTGGTATCTATGACTGCTGACTCATAATTGACAATGAGAGACTTTGAAGGCTTCTGTGAAAACTTCTCCCTACCCCCACCTTGCAAAAGAAAGAAAAGTTTAGAAAGGAAGCCAATAAAGAGAGTACTTTAAAAAATGTGATAGAGATGATGAAGTGTAGACTTCACAATTGACTCCTTCTGGAGTGGTAGGGGAGCAGAACTCAGTTATCTTTAAAGGGATGGCCACTGGGGGTTTGACCGTGCTCCAATGAGCATTTGGGCAACATGAAATGGACGAGGTGTATTTTTTCTTTCTTACTTACTTTCTTTTTTTTGTGGGGGAAGGCATAAGGGTGGGAGAGCAGAACTCTCAGGAATGGAAACCAGGTGTGATTAGGGTGCATGTATGGGGACAAAAGAAGTAAAAGAAGTATGCACACTAGAACCCTATTCAGAAATAGAAAAGAATGAAATTCTATTATATATATATATATATATATATATATATATATATATATATATATAGTGTGTGTGTGTGTGTGTGTGTGTGTGTGATTGTACTATGGTCTAATAGGATGCAAGGAGAGAGTCTAGTATTTTTTAATTTGTAAAGACTTTATATGTCCCAAGATGTGGTCCAGTTTATAACATCCATGTGCTGGTGAGTACTTGTACATTGTTTGACATTTGGATAGAGTAGTGCTTAGTATCCATTATATTCATTGATGTAGCATTTCAGTTAATTCTGGTATTTCTCTTTTGATATTGTGTCCAGGTGAACTGATTACCCAAGAAAGTGGGTAATCACCAACTTTTAATAAATTGATATTAACTTCTGTCTTAATATGTGACCTATGTTTTTTCTTATGTAGTTTTCATTATACTTTCTTTTCCATGTATACTTATGGTTTTAACCATTACATGCTTTTGGGCATTTCTCTTTTTGG